TCCCTGGGATGCAAGGCTGGTTCAATATACGGAAATCAATAAATGTTATTCACCACATCAATAGACTTAAAAATAAGAACCATATGATCATCTCGATAGATGCGGAAAAAGCATTCGACAAAGTACAGCATCCCTTTATGTTCAAAACTCTAGAAAAACTAGGGATAACAGGAACATACCTCAATATTGTAAAAGCAATCTATGCTAAGCCTCAGGCTAGCATCATTCTGAATGGAGAAAAATTGAAGGCATTCCCTCTAAAATCTGGAACAAGACAGGGATGCCCTCTCTCACCACTTCTGTTCAACATAGTTCTCGAAACACTGGCCAGAGCAATTAGACAGACGAAAGAAATTAAAGGCATCAAAATAGGAAAAGAAGAACTTAAATTATCACTATTTGCAGATGACATGATTCTATACCTAGCAGACCCAAAAGGGTCTACAAAGAAACTATTAGAGCTAATAAATGAATTCAGCAAAGTGGCAGGATATAAAATCAACACGCATAAATCAAAGGCATTCCTGTATATCAGCGACAAATCCTCTGAAATGGAAATGAGGACAACCACTCCATTCACAATATCTTCAAAAAAAATAAAATACTTGGGAATCAACCTAACAAAAGAGGTGAAAGACTTATACAACGAAAACTACAGAACCCTAAAGAGAGAAATAGAAGAAGATCTTAGAAGATGGAAAAATATACCCTGTTCATGGATAGGCAGAACTAACATCATCAAAATGGCGATATTACCAAAAGTTCTCTATAGGTTTAATGCAATGCCAATCAAAATCCCAACGGCATTTCTTGTAGAAATAGAGAAAGCAATCATGAAATTCATATGGAAAAATAAAAGACCCAGAATAGCAAAAACAATGCTAAGCAGGAAGTGTGAATCAGGCGGTATAGCGATACCAGACTTCAAACTATACTACAGAGCAATAGTAACAAAAACAGCATGGTACTGGTACCAAAACAGGCGGGTGGACCAATGGTACAGAATAGAGGACACAGAAACCAATCCACAAAACTACAACTATCTTATATTTGATAAAGGGGCTAAAAGCATGCAATGGAGGAAGGATAGCATCTTCAACAAATGGTGCTGGGAAAACTGGAAATCCATATGCAACAAAATGAAACTGAATCCCTTTCTCTCGCCATGCACAAAAGTGAATTCAAAATGGATCAAGGAGCTTGATATCAAATCAGAGACACGCCGTCTGATAGAAGAAAAAGTTGGCTACGATCTACATACTGTGGGGTCGGGCTCCAAATTCCTCAATAGGACACCCATAGCACAAAAGTTAATAACTAGAATCAACAAATGGGACTTACTCAAACTAAAAAGTTTTTTCTCAGCAAAAGATACAATAAGAGAGGTAAATAGAGAGCCTACATCCTGGGAACAAATCTTTACTCCTCACACTTCAGATAGAGCCCTAATATCCAGAGTATACAAAGAACTCAAAAAATTAGACAATAAGAGAACAAACAACCCAATCAACAAATGGGCCAAGGACCTGAACAGACACTTCTCAGAGGAGGACATACAATCAATCAACAAGTACATGAAAAAATGCTCACCATCTCTAGCAGTCAGAGAAATGCAAATCAAAACCACCCTAAGATACCACCTCACTCCAGTTAGATTGGCAGCCATTATGAAGTCAAACAACAACAAGTGCTGGCGAGGATGTGGGGAAAAGGGTACACTTGTACATTGCTGGTGGGACTGCAAATTGGTGCAGCCAATTTGGAAAGCAGTATGGAGATTTCTTGGAAAGCTGGGAATGGAGCCACCATTTGACCCAGCTGTTCCCCTTCTCGGTCTATTCCCTAAAGACCTAAAAAGAGCATGCTACAGGGAAACTGCTACATCAATGTTCATAGCAGCACAATTCACAATAGCTAGACTGTGGAACCAACCTAGATGCCCTTCAATGGATGAATGGATAAAAAAAATGTGGCATTTATACACAATGGAGTATTACTCTGCATTAAAAAATGACAAAATCATAGAATTTACAGGGAAATGGATGGCATTAGAGCAGATTATGCTAAGTGAAGCTAGCCAATCCCTAAAAAACAAATGCCAAATGTCTTCTTTGATATAAGGAGAGTAACTAAGAACAGAGTAGGGTCGAAGAGCATGAGAAAAAGATTAACATTAAACAGGGATGAGAGGTGGGAGGGAAAGGGAGAGAGAAGGGAAAATGCATGGAAATGGAAGGAGACCCTCAGAGTTATACAAAAGTACATACAAGAGGAATTGAGGGGAAGGGGAAAAATAATATAAGGGGGACAAACGAATGTCAGTAGAGGGGGCAGAGAGAGAAGAGGGGAGGGGAGGGGAGGGGAGGGGAGGGGAGGGGGGATAGTAGAGGATAGGAAAGGCAGCAGAATACAACAGACACTAGTATGGCAATATGTAAATCAATGGATGTGTAACTGATGTGATTCTGCAATCTGTATATGGGGTAAAAATGGGAGCTCATAACCCACTTGAATCAAACTGTGAAATATGATATATCAAGAACTATGTAATGTTTTGAACAGCCAACAATAAAAAATTAAAAAAAAAAAAAGACTGAATTACCCATGATTTCTTTCTCTTTTCATTTCTGGTCCTTTTCATATTTTTCACATTGAATGTGTAGTGATTTCTAGTTTTTATCAGGATCTTAAACATTTTTTCATTTGAAATACACTTAATGTTCAAAGGGCTATTATCTGGTAGACCTGTGCTCATATAGGGACCTCATCCTTTGTGAGGGACATCTATGGGCAGCTAGATGAAAATAGGCCTCTAAAAGGGGCCCCTTGGGGAATGGGTGAGAGAAGTGAGGGATGTGTCCCAGACTAGAGGCCAGTCAGAGAGCAGGCACTGTCCCTGAAAGGCACTCTTTGTTGGTCTGTCTGGGGATAGACCCCAGTGACAGAACAGGGAACTCCAGGGGAAGCTCCAAGAGGGAAAACCAGGTTTTAGTATAAAATGAGCTTTAAATAATCAGAGTTGTTTCGTGGTGATGTTGCCCGAGGAAGTGGTGAGCTCCTTATCTTGGGAGAGACTTACACAAATCACCTGGTTGAGTATACCCTTCAATGACATCAGAGTCCTGCCCCGTGTGGAAATTGGATTAGAAAACTAGGGTTTTGAGCTTTGTAGACTTCATTGTTCTGACTCAAATACCCTACTGTGACCACTAAGAAAGAACTGGAGGGGAAGCCTAATAAACAAGTGCTTTGGAGTCAGCTGGTTCTAAGCTTGAATCCTAGTTCTGCAGCATATAACCTGAAAAACTACTTTAGACTTGTGATCTTTGTTTGTAAAGGTTCTCATCTCACTGGGTGTCCAAAGGATGCAATGAGATGCATCATTGCCTGATCACCAACTCTGCCCTGCAGCAAGGCTATTGCCTTTTGGCTTGCATCTTAGTAAAAAGAAGCAGATGGAGGATGTTTGGCAATAGCTACTTCCCAGGGCATCTTTGCTTCCTGAGCCATGTTTCTCTTTTAAAGATGGCAATTCTCCTTGAGCACTGTCTCTTTAAGGAAATGACACTTACCTGGAGATTTTTGTGTTTGTAAGAACCAGTTTTCATGAAAAGGGCCAAATGGAATTCAGAGCAAAACAAGATTTCTACCCTGCAGTTAGAAGCATGCCAGAAATGCTATTTCAGGATCTGGGGCACACTGATCATGCTGTCCATCTACAACTACAAAAAAAAAAAAAAGTGAATTGTCAAATTCACTCAAATTGTCCTCAAGATGTCTTGAGGACCCTCAGGACTCTTCCTCCACTTTGCAATTGTCTGTGATGTTTATAAACCATGCTTGAGCCCAGGAATAAGTGCCCTATACACAGGATACTTTCAGCTGCCCTTGGGGTCACACTGACGTGGGATGTGACCTCAGAGATCACTCCTTCCAAACCTCTTCTAAAGCACTGTCTGAGCCACTGAAGTGCTCCCTGGGGAGAGGGTTTCCCAGGCAACGGAAGGGACCACAAGAGGTGTGTAGGAGAGGGGGTGACAAAAGAAGGAAAGGGTGAGTGTTGAGGGGGTTACTCATCTCTCTATTTCCAAGGGCCAGGACAGTGCTCAGAAGATAGAAGTTCAGTGAGTGTTTTTCAAGTGATCTGAGTCTGTCAGGTTATAAGAGGGTCAGGCTAGGTGTAGACTTACGGGGGAAGGGGAGGGGCAGGGCAGACAAGACTGATTTTTCAGCTCTGCCCTTCTCACTGGAGCACAACCAGACAGTAACTTAACCTCTCTCAAGTCTTCTTATCTGTAAAACAGAGAGAAAATGGTTGTTCCAGGGTTGTGACTACATGAAAGCACCTAACCCTTGGATTGTCCTAGGTAATGTTCTTTAAATCTCAGTCTGCTATGATATTGCTAGAAGATCTTTGACAATTCACTTTTTTTTTTGTAGTTGTAGATGGACAGCATGCCTTTTTTTTATTTGTTTATTTTTATGTGGTGCTAAGGATTGAACCCAGTGCCTCAGATGTGGTAGGGAAGCACTCTGCCATTGAACTACAGCCTCAGCCTGACAATTCACTTTGTTTTTAAGTATTTTTTTTAGTTGTTGATGGACCTTTTTATTTGCTTATTTATATGTGGTGCTGGCACTCAAACACAGTGCCTCACATGTACATGGCAAGTCCTCACTGTTGAGCTACAACTCCAGGCCCCCCCCCCCCCGCCCCCGAAAATTCACTTTTATACTCTGAGCTTCACTTTCCATGGAAAGGGAACTCTCTTCTCTTGAGTACCTACTGTATGCCCCGGTCACTTTCACATGTATTATTTTACTTAGTCCTTATAATAATTTCACAAGACATGTATTATTATCACCAATTGGAAAATGAGGAAAGAGTCCAAGAGATTAAACAACTTTCCCAATCCATATATAGAATAATTATTAAGCCAAGGCTTGGACCAGATTCTGGAGCAGTCCCAAAGCTCCTCACTTTCTCTGTACTTCAAAGGTAGATCAGCACCAGCTCATTTCAGCTCCCAGTTCAGGGCTAAATACACAGTGGGCCTTCATCAAATACTTCCCTTTTTTCTTATTCAGTAAGGAGTAGGTGAAAGAATAAGTATAAAAGGGAAGGAAAGGGTTGAGGCGGGAGTGGGGGTGTAGCATCAGGTGACGATTAAGATTTGAGGTTGAGGTTTCCATGTAGGTCTAGAACATATTTGGAGCCAGGATGTAGGAGAAGAGCTGAGGTGGACTGCACCCAGCCTTGAGGAGGCAGTTAGGGCTGGAGAGAAGATAAGGACTGGGATCAATATTGGGGAGCGGGTACAACCAGGGATGAGGTTGGTGTTGACATCAGGAAGAGGACTCTGGCAGGCATTTGGATGAGGATTGGGGTGGAGTATGGGTTCCTGTGGATGTTTGAAGATGGAAGTTTGCTGTTAAAGTAAGGATTGGTATGTGATTTGGGGTTGGATTGAAGGTGATGATAGAATGGAGTCTGAAATGAGAACTGGGTGAGGGTTGGTGGATAGAGTTGGGGTGACGTTCAAGAACACTTCTCAACAATGGCTAGGGTAAGGATGAGGGAACTGAGCTGAGATGGGGTTTCAGGGGGAGGTTGAGTTGGTGATAGGGTGGGAATAGGGTCAGCACTGAGCTTGAAGACTAAGGATGGGATGGGGGTTGGTGCAATCTTTAGGTGGACATTAGATGAAGGTTGAATCTTAGCTAGCGCATGAGCTGAGGGTAGGGCTAGAGGGCTAGACCCTAGTGGGGTTCGAGGTGGGGTTAGGGCCAGGGCCGGTACCTGAGCCACCACATGTAGCTGTGCTCGTAGGGGAAGAAGCTGTGCGGGTCGTCGCAGCAGTACTTGTGGTCGCGGAAGCCACAGCAGAAGACAGCGGCCGCCTCGCCCCCTGGCCGTGGGCAGCTGAAGCCGTGCACCACCTCCTGCTCCGCGCTCACGTAGCTCGTGCAAGCGCCGGTCATTGCGCCCCTCGCCCGGCCCGCCCTTTCGGCCACCAGACGGCTGGCGAGACAAGGGCCGGTGGAACGAAAGACTGGTGAAGACCGAGCCTAAGAAAGACTGAGAGATTAGCAGAGGTAAGGAGAGAGAGAGAGAGAGAGAGAGAGAGAGAGAGAGAGAGAGAGAGAGAGAGAGAGAGAGAGACACGCGCAGAGCAAGGCAGGGCCCAGGGCGCAGAGACGCAGCGGTTAGAACCTGGAGACCGCGAAGACCCAGTGGCCACCAGGTGCTCAGGCGGGGCGCCGCGGCAGGGGAGGTGCGGTGGAAGAGCAGCCGTAGGAGGAGGAGAGCAGAGCGGAGGGCGGCGGGAATCTGGGTGGGAGTTGCAGTCCAGGCGCGGGGCGCTAGTTGGGGGCGCCCGCAAGGCAGACAGCGGGGAATCTGCTGGGGAGCCGCCTGCGCGCGCCGCTATGCCCGCACTTCCCCGCCAGCTCCGCTGCCTCCACTGTGTGTGCACGAGGGCGCTGGGTGCTCAGAAACACACGGCATGGCCAGGGTAGCAGGAATTCGAGGCCAGGAGCATGGGTCTCTTACCTGCATTGGTCACCCTCTTGGTGATAGGCACTATGCTGAGTGCTAGGAAGTGCAAGACGGTTCTGAGTTCTGCAGGAAACAGACAAGTGATTGACCCACATAACAGGATCATACTTATGCTAACTTTCACAACAACTCAGAGGACCAGGGATTTTTCACATCCACTTTCTACAAGATTGCTGAGACCAGAGACAAGTCATTTCCCTAGATCCCAAATCAATGGAATTTTAACCGAGGCTCTCGAAGGTTCTCTGAGCAACTCTTTTCCCGTGGGCTTTTAAGTGTCTTCATATTCTGGCTTCCTTGCCAGTCTTTTCCTTTCTTCCCTCATGCATTCTCCTTGGTTGTTCATACTCTGCCCCTGGCCAAGGACAAGGGGGCAAGTGTGGGTGTTCCCAGATGGTAATCCCTTTCCCCCATCTCCAGCAGAGCCAGCAGACCTCTCTCTCTTTTTAGAAATTACTTCTATACCAGGAAGGCAGTAATCTCATTAGGATCAGACAACCACAGCCTGAAGGTGCTTTCAGAGTCTTGGCAATATATTTTAACCCTGAGAGGATAGACCTGCCATATCCAAGGGCCTCATACAGCTTCTTCATGGCCTTAGCTCCCTATATTATGCACAGCAATAGATAGAGTAGAAAATAGTTAATGTGATGCCTTGGCATCCCCCGTTCTTCCCTTTGCTTTGGGTTTGTCAGGGATGATCATGGGTATCAAGGGATCTGGACTTAAGCCCAGCTCTACCCTTACCTGCTTCTCTGTGCTACCCCTTCTAGTTCCTTATCTTCTTCCAGCTCAGCTCCATAGATGCTTCTGCATGCCATGCCTCTGGAGCCCCTGAAAAGAATCAGATCTGGGTCTTTCATGGAGCACCACACAGTTTGATGGTGGAATCAGACAGACACTGCAGTGAAAGGGGAAATACAGGGACCCAGACACCCATGGGGTTCCATCTGAGGGGGCAGGGAAGAGTTCTGAGGGAGTAATATCCTCAAGGGTCACTGTAAGGTCAAATATAAAAACTGGATGGAATTGTTATTATTACTGGCCTGCTCTAATGAAGGTACATTTTGGCCTCTATTTATCAGGAGAGTAAAGGGGAGGAATCCTTTGGGAGGGAAAGAGGCCTCCTGGAGACATAGACATCATCTGAGAAAGAAAACACCTACTTTTGTTTTTTGGAAAAACTGGGAAGCCTTGAACAATTTCCAAAATCCTTTTCCAGCCAAGAATTATTTTTTCCAACAACCTTGAGGGGTGATTGTACCCTGAGAGACAAGCACAATATCACACAGTGATCAACGGCTCAGGCAGGACCCATGTCTATTTAGCCAAGGATCCTCTTTGGATTCTTTTTTTTTTTAAATTTTTATTGTTGGTTGTTCAAAACATTACATAGTTCTTGATATATCATATTCACACTTTGATTCAAGTGGGTTATGAACTCCCATTTTTACCCCGTATACAGATTGCAGAATCACATCAGTTACACATCCATTGATTTACATATTGCCCATACTAGTGTCTGTTGTATTCTGCTGCCTTTCCTATCCTCTACTATCCCCCCTCCCCCTCTTTGGATTCTGATGAAGCCTGTGTTCCCCCATTCACAATAGTCCTATTTAACTGCAGAGATAAATTATTTAGGAGCACAAAAGATATCAATTCTGTTGAATCATGATTTAGTCCTACATTTTAAAAAGTGTCAAATACCAAGATTTAGAGATGAGTCTATTAATTTATAATTTTGAGCTAGAGAAGGAAAATAAGCAATATTTCAAGATGTCTCTACTATAATGCAATATGAAAATATCTGTGATTTCTGTTGGTGGAGTTTTACTTTTATTGTGGAGTTTTATTTTTATTTTCCTTATGTGAGTAATAAAAGGAAATGCTAAATTCTGTTGGATATAAGTGAAAACAAGGTTGTAATTTTTCCCATACAGATTCATGGACTTTCTGCCTTCTACCCATGCATTCTTTGAGCCCTGTGGACCTTGTGTTAAAATCCTCTAGTTTCTCAGATGTAGCTCCTACTTTTATGCTTGTTCCTTCAATGTGCCCATTATTTTCCTTCCCTGTGTTCTCCTGCAGATCTCCTATATTCCAGATAGTTTCCCATCTTAGATGTCATGTAGTCCTTGAAAACTTCCTCTGAGATAGGTGTTGGTCTTCCCACTTTGCAGACAAGGTCACTGAGACTCCAGGAAGTGTGGTTTATCCAAAGCCTCACAGGCAGAGTTTTGTATCACTCCTCTTCTCTCCCAGCTGAGATCTGGGGACCAGAGTCTCCAACACCAGTAGGGAAAGAAAGTATAGGAGGGAAGGGTAGGCAGGGAGAGCTGGTGCTCATGGACAAAACACTGTGAACTAGAAATTGTGCTTTGTGCTTTTTTATTTGGGAGGGAGGAACCAGGGATTGAATACAAGGGCACTCAACCATTGAGCCACATTCCCAGCCCTATTTTATATTTTATTTAGAGACAGGGTCTCACTGAATTGCTTAACGCCTTGCCTTTTGCTGAGGCTGGCTTTGAACTCTGTGATCCTCCTGCTTCAGCCTCCCCAGCTGCTGAGATTACAGGTGTGCACCACCGCTCCTGGCTGCTTTGTGCTTTTCAGTGTGTCCTTTAATCCTCACAACAACCCTGTAGTCTTACTCTCTCCATTAAGGAAAAAATGTAAGAATAACAAAATACATATACACTATAAAACACCAAATTAGAGGGCTGGGGATGTTGCTCAGGGGTAGAGCAATTGCAAAGGTGAGGCCCTGGGTTCCATCCCTAGCACCACAATAAATAAATAAATAAAACAATAAATTGGAGAATACAGAAAGACCAAAAGAAAAAAGAAAAACCACCCATAATCTTACCATACACAGATGTCTGTTAATAATGTGTGAGGTCCTGCATTCAATCCCTAGCACAGAAAAAAAAATCTATTAATATCTTAGAATGAAGTCTCCCAGACACACACACACACACACACACACACACACACAATTATGTACCACTTTATGTACGGGAAAACAGACCTAGAGAGGTTAAGTAACTTGCCCAAGGATATGCAAGTATTAAGTTCCAGTCACCTGCTGGGTGACCCTAGGTCACTTTTCCTCTCTGCCCTAGGACAGTAGCCAAGATTACTCCAGATGGAGGAGCATGAAGCCTGGCACTAGGCAAGCCCCAACAGGAAACAATTTCTGCATGGTACTCAAAACAATGCCCTCTTGACCTTGGCTGCCTTGCTCCTGAAGCTGAGTTCCCCCAGGAGGGTCCGGAAAGAAACGACCCCTTGACCCCTCGCTGTGGTTGGCCTCACCAGAAGACTGGATGACTGCAGTCAAGGGAGATTGACAACTCAGGGGCAACTTGAGGCCCTAATAACCAGTTCCTCTCCATGTCACACAGCAATCAATGACCCAGGCAGAACTGGTACACAACCTCAGTCGTATGTGTGGTCCATGACTCGTCCCTGGCCTCTGAATTTGTGGAGTGGAGCAGTACCTTTCCATGCACCCTGCTGCCCCAAATACACCTGCCCCACAGTGTGGACCCTGCCACAGACATATTCCCACTGCCAGGCTCCTCATCGTTCACAGCAGCTGGAGAAGCAAAGGAAGTATGTGGACCTCAGAGTGCCTGCTGAGGAAGGATTCTTTCCCTTCAAGAATGAGGCTGATGTCTCATTGTGAGGAAAGTGACTATCCCCCAACATCAAATCCAGGGGTGAATCTGGGATGGTGGTGCAGATCTCCTGAAACCACCCAGGATCTTTCCCACTCTCTGAGACTACCACCCTTTGCAGGTTTGGGACTATTTGCTGTTTGTTTTATTACACCCCGCCCCACCTTTTTCCCCCCTTGTACTGGAGATGGAATCCAGGAGCCCTCTGTCACTGAGTTACATCTTTTCATTTTTTAATTTGACTCAGTGTCTTGCTACATCGTTGAGGCTGGCTTTGAACTTGCAATCCTCCCGCAAGACTCCTGAGTTGCTGAGATTACAGGTGAGCACACTGCATGTGGCTTACCATGAAACCTTTAAGACACACAGCAGAACTACCTCTGTACCCTCCACTTGGTTTAAGGAAAAAAAAAAGAAAGTCAGTCTTGTTTGAAGTCTCATGTACTCCTCCCTCCTCCCCCAGAGGTAACCACTCTCTCAAATTGGGTGTTAATCATTCCCATGCTCTTTTTATTACTATTATTATTTTAGTGTAGATGGACACAATACCTTTATTTTATTTATTTTTGTATGGTGCTGAGGATCAAACCCAGTGCCTCAAACATGCTAGGCAAGCACTCTACCACTGAGCCATAACCCCAGCCCATTCCCACACCCTTATTTATGCTATCATATATGCATGGATTTTTAAGCAATATGTGGAACTGCTTTGCATGTATTACATTTTTAATAAACAGCATCATACCACAGGTGTTCTTGAACCTAGTTTTTTGTTTAGCCTTATGTTTGTGAGCTTTGTTTATTCTGATATACATGTTCTATCTAGTTTATTCATTTTTGCTGCTGTATAGTTTTCCATTTTGTACACATATAATGAATTTATTATCCATATTTAGGTTTCTTCCAGATTTTTTTTTTAGTACTGATGATTGAACAAAGAACCTTGCACATATTAGGCAAGTGCTCTATCACTTAGCTATATCCCCAGCCTTTCTACCATTTTTTTTAAAATTGTTGTTACAATTATCTCTTGAGGGTTTTTTTTTTCTTTAGGTGCTAAGATTCAAATCCAGGGCCTATGTACACAAGTGCTCTACCACTAAGTCCTAAGGTGTTTTTTCCTTTTAAAATCAATTTTATTTAGATGTATTTTACAAAAAAATAAAATCTACTTATTTTTAAGTGTATAGCATGGTGAATTTTGATAAATTTGTCCATCCATGTAAAAAAATACATCACCCTCCCATGGGTCCCTTTTGCAGTCAGCCCTCCTCTCCCTGAGCCTTAACTTATGCAGAACTAGTCTGCTCTTTGTCCCTTATTAGATTAATTCTGCCTATTCTAAGATTTTTGTATTAATGGAATTAAACACCTCCACAGTCAAAATATAGTACACTTCATTGTAGTGGGAAATGAGGGTCAGGGCATTGAGATTTGGAAGTAACACTTTTATAGTGGCACTAAGGCCTAGAAGGATAGTTCCCAAAGTCTGAGCCTCAAACACAGGAGGGCTTTTACTTTTATAAGTAAGCAAGTTTGGAGTACATCAAGGGAAGAGAGTTTGTGCAATTCTATTGGAGGGTGCATTCTGCATTCCTTCTTTTTTTTAATGTGATGCTGGGGATTGAACCCAGGGCCTTGTGCATGCAAGGCTAACACTCTACCAACTGAGCTATAACCCCACCCTCTACATGAGTACAAGTTTATAAACAACCTAGGGACTCTTAGCTCATACAGCTTAGGAATTTTTATTGCACTAAGCCTGAAGGGAGATTGTTCTGTTCCCGTTACTATTTCCTGCTTCTGCTACTGTGGTTATCTTTTACAGGTACCTGTTACGCACTGCAAGCCTCTTTGGTTAAATGTCAGTAAGCAGAGCTGCTCTGTGTCAGCGTGCAAAACTACAGCCTGTCAGCTCTTAAATTCCTGAAGTTCCCATTTTGTTCTACCACATCATCACACATCACCTTCCCATGGGTCTCCTTTGCAGTCAGCCCTCCTCTCCCTGAGCCTTGACTTATGCAGAACTGGTCTGTTCTTTGTCCCTTATAGATCAATTCTGCCAGTTCTAAGATTTTTGTATTAATGGAATTAAACAGTATTTCTCTTTTGTGTCTGATTTTATTCGCTCACCCAAAGGCTTTAAGTACACAGAAATTTTACATGTACAAGTAGTTTCTCCCTTTTTATAGCCAAGTTGTATTATATGAAAATACTTTAATTTGTTTATTCATTCAACTGTTAGTGGACATTTGGGTTGTTTCTAGTTTGGGACTATTATGAATAAAGTTGCTACAAACATTTTTGTTCATATGCTTTTATTCTTTGGGACCTATGTTTTCATTCCACTTAGGCCATACCTAGAAGTGGAATTTCTGGGCTTACAGGGTAAATGTATGCTTTAAATTTTTTTTTTTTAGTTGTAGATGGACACAATACCTTTATTTAATTTTCTGTTTTTAAATTTGATGCTGAGGATTGAACCCAGTGCCTCACACATGCTAGGCAAGTGCTCTACCACTGAGCTACAATCTCAGCCCTAAATGTATGTTTAATGTTGTAAGAAATTGCCAAATTCTTTTCCAGACTAGCTGTACCATTTTGCATTTTCAACAGTAATGTGTAAGAGCCAGGACTCCACATCCTCACTTATTTTTTATTTTAGCTACTCTTAAAGGTGAATGTAGAATGGTATCTCATTGTGCCTTATTTATATTTCCCTAATAGCTAACGATGAACATCTTTTTATGTGCTCATTAGCCATTTATGGATCTTCTTTGGCAAAATGTCTGTTCTTCTTATTTTTAAATTAGGTTTATCTATTTTATTTTATTGTAAATTGAAAATTATATTTGTATTTTATAGGATATAAAGTAATGTTTTATATATATATTTGTATATTTGTGTGTATAATAACTAAATCAAGCTAATTAACATATTGATCACCTTAAATACTTATTTTTTAGTGGTGAGAAAATTTGAAATGTACTCTCCTAGCAATGTGAAATACACAATACATTCTTATGAATGGTAGTCATCATGCTGTGCAATAGAGCTCAGAAAACATTTCTCCTAACTGAAACTTTGTACTCTTTGACCAACAGCTGTCCATTGCCCCAATGCACCAAGCTTCTGGTAGCCACAATTCTATTTCTGCTTGTATGAGTTAGATTATTTTAGATTCTACATACAAATGAGATAACTGGCATTTGTCTCTAAAAGGACATAAGGTTTATCCATGTTGTTACAAATGACAGAATTCCCTTTCTTTAAAAGGCATAAGAGCATTACGTTGTGTGTATATGCTATATTTTCTTTATTCATTGATTGATTGATGGACACTTAAGTTGATTCCATGACTTGACTATTGTAAATGATGCTGAGATAAATATAGGAGTGCAGATAGCTCAATATATGATTTCAAATTGTTTGAATATATTTACCCAGAAGTGGGATTTTTGGATAATATATGCTCAGCCCTTTTATTTTTTATTTTCAGAAGGGTCTCCACTAATTTCTCAATATCTCGCTCAATTGCTGAGGCTGGCCTCGAACTTGCCATCCTCCCTGAATCTCTGGAATTGTAGACGTGCATCATCACGCCTGGCTATTTTTAGGGTTTTTTTGAGGAATCTTCATGAAGTTTTCCATAATACTGTACTAATTTGCATTACCTCCCACAGTGTGCAGGGTTCCCTTTTCTCCATATCTTTGCTAATACTTATCTTGTGTGGGGGGAGTGAGAGGGGGGGAGAGAGAGAGAGGGAGAGAGAGAGAGAGAGGGAGGGAGAGAGGGAGAGGGGGAGAGAGAGAGAGAGAGAAGCTGGGGATCAAACCCAGGACCTCATAAATGCTAGGCAAACATTCTATCACTAAGCTACATCCCTGCCCTATCTAGTCTTTTTAATAATAGCTGTCTTTTTTAAAAAAATTATTTTATAGTTGTTGATGGACCTTTATTTTATTCATTTATTTATATGTGGAGCTGAGAATCGAACCCAGGCCTCACACATGCTAGGCTAGTGCTCTGCACTGAGCCACAACTCCAGCCTTTTTTACCTTTATTTTGTTTATTTTTATGTGGTGCTGAGAATCAAACCCAGTTCCTCACACATGCAAGGCAAATGCTTTACCACTGAGGCACAACTCCAGCCCAATAATAGCTATCTTGATAGGTATGAGAGGGTATCTCCTTGTGGGTTTTTATTTAGTTAGTTTTAGTCGTAGGTGGACACAATACCTTTATTTTATTTATTTATATATGGTGCTGAGAATCGAATTGAACCCAGTGCTTCACACGTGCTAGGTAAGCATTCTACCACTGAGCTACAACCCCAGTCCCTCCTTGTGGTTTTAATTTACATTTTCCTAATGATTAGTGATATTGTGCATTTTTCATCTTTTTTTTTTTTTTTTTTTTTCCATTTGGAGATCCTCTTTTGAGAAATGTCTATTCAGGTCCTTTGCCCATTTTTGAATTTTTATTTATTTTTTTCATCTTCTTGCTACTGAGTTGAGTTCCTAAATATATTTTTGATATTAACCCCTTATTTCATGTATAGCTTCCAGATATTTTTTCCCAATCTGTAGGTTGTCTCTTCACTCTGTTTCCTTTGCCATGTAGAAGATTTTCAGTTTGGTGTAATTCCACTTTTTTAGTTTTGCTTTTGTCATGTGAGTTTTATGGAATTAAATCCACAAAATCATTGTGGTTTTATCCTTAAGTTTTCTTTCATTAGTTTTACTGTTTCAGTTGGGTTTGTCTTTATGTTATTTTTATATGTGGTGTGAGATATAGGTCTAATTTCATTTTTATGCATGTGGATATCCAGTTCCAAATACTCTTATTTTTTTAAGTTTTTTTTTTTTTAAAGAGAGAGAGAGATTGAGAATTTAATATTTACTTTTTCGTTTTCGGCGGACACAACATCTTTGAGGATCCAACCCGGGTCGCACGCATGCCAGAGGAGCGTGCTACCGCTTGAGCCACATCCCCAGCCCCAGTTCCAAATACTCTTTATTGAAGAGACTGTCATTATCCCATCCTATGTTCTTGGCACATTTCAATAAAAAATTAGTTGACCTAGCTCACTGTGCCCAGCTGTAATCCCAGTGATTCAGAAGAGTGAGACAGCAGGATTGCAAGTTTGAGGCCCATCCAGGTACCTTAGTGAGACTAAGGTACTAAAATAAAAAGAACTAGGGACTTAGTTCAGTGCTAAAGCACTCCTGGGTTCAATTCTCCGAACAACAACAAATCAATTATTCAAACTGTGTGTGTTAATTTCCGGGCTCTCTGTCCTGTTCCATCTGTTGATCTGTTGATGTGACTATTTTTATGTCAGTACCATTCTGCTTTCATCACTATAGCTTAGTAATATAATAATAATAATAAAAAAAGTAACCTGGGCTGGGGTTGTGGCTCAGTGGTAGAGCACTCGCCTAGCATGTGCAAGGCCCTGGGTTCAAGCCTTAGCACCACATAAAAATAAATAAATTAAAGATATTGTGTCCAACTACAATTAAAAAAATAAATATTAAAAAAAAATAGGGCTGGGTTGTGGCTCAGCATTAGAGCGCTCGCCTAGCATGCGCAGGGCCCTGGGTTCGATCCTCAGCACCACATAAAAATAAATGAATTGGAATAAAGGTATTGTGTCCAAACACAACTAAAATATATATATATATATATATATATATATATATATATATATATATATATAAAATAACCTGATGCCCCAGCTATTTTCTCTTTTATTTCCTCTCAATATTGCTTGAGCTAATCAGGGTTGTTGTTGTGTGATTCCATATGAATTTTAAGATTTTTTTTTCTATATCCTTGAAGAGTGACATTAGAATTTTGATAGGAATTGTTTAGCTTCTTATTAGTTGTAACAGTTCATATATATTCTGAATATAAATCCTTTGTCACTATGTTATTGCAAATATATTTTTTTCCCAATCCTTTGGCTTGCCTTTTTGTTTTCTTTAAGGAATCATTTGAAAAGCAGAAAATTTTAATTTCGATAAAATCTACTTTGTTATTTTTCTATGAAGGTGAGTGCACAAAAAAAAATCTTTGCTACTCCAAGTTCACAAGAATTATGAATAGAATTATGCTTCTCCTGTTGAAATACTTTGAAACCTTTGTCAAAAATTAGTTAATATAGGGGATGCATTTGTAGCTTATTGGTAAAGCACTTGCCTAGAATATGTGAGGCACTGGGTTCAATCCTTAGCACCATAGAAAAATAAAGTTAATTTTAAAAAATCAGTTAATATAAAAGTTGGGGAGGTAGCTCAGTGGTTGAGTGCTTTCCTAGCATTTGTAAGACCCTAAATTCAATACCTAGTACCGCTGGGGGGGAAAAATCAGTTAATCTGTATGTAGATATATTCCTGTATTCTTTACTTTATTTCATTGACCAGTGTTCATCCTTAAGCTAGTGTTACTTGGCATTAGTTACTGTAGCTTTATAAATAAGTCTTTAAATCAGGTAGTATAAATTCTTTAGTTTTCTCTTTTTTAAAATTTGTGATTCTAAGTCCTTTGCATTTCCATAGAAATTTTAAAGTCAGCTTGTCAATTTCTGCCAAAATACCACCACCAACAACAGAAATTTTTCTGGAATTATGCTTGGGTTGCACTGAAATAATAGATCGATTTGGAGAGAATTAATATATTGAGTTTCCCAATCCAAGAGCATATCATATCTCTTAATTCTTTAATTTCTCTAAGCAGCATTTTATACGTTTTTTTAAAAAAAATTTTTTAGCTGTAGAAGGACACAGTATCTTGTTTTTATTTATTTATTTTTAT